GAACCCCACGTGAAGCAGAAGCCAACGAGACGGAGACCGGTACGGAAGAAGATACGTCCCGTAAAATTAAGAGACTTTGTTGAATTGTAATTTTGTGTTTGTAATTCGATACAATTAATTAAGTAATTGTTAATTGTATGTGGTTATTGTTCGGGACGAACAATATTAAGGAGGGGGCAGTGTTGCGTCATCGAGATCATGTGATTCTCACGCCCTCTTGTTTCTAGAACTATCCCGTATCTTGGCGAATGCTCTAGCATTTACTAGATAGGGTAGGCTGGTATATAAATAAGGGGAATGTAATGTGTGTGTGAACAGTGAGTAATTGATCTGCAGTCAGAAGTATTGTTGACGTTCGTTGATTAGCGTTTGTTTTAACGCGATTGTTGAAGTTGAGTGTATCGATAAAGTTATATTCGGAAAGAATAAATCAGTTTTATTAAGAAAGGACTTGTGTCGCTTAAATTTCGTCGGAACGAAGTTACGGAAAATTAATTAACAAACGGAGACGTAACAATACTGTTTGGCCTATAAAGAAAATAGTTGCTAGTAAGCTGTGATAGTACACCTGACCCGTAAAGAAAACAATTGTTACAACGTGTGACAGTGCCATCTGGCTTCTGAAGAAAATATTAGGTCGTCAAGAAATTAATTTCGCGTTTTGGAACACTTTCATTAACCACCCCCCGAATTGATTGCTAGATGATGCTTACATACTTAAAATTCGTCAGATCTACAAGTACACATTTTTCAATACAGAAATCAATATTCTTTAACATTAATAAAATACTGTTTGTTTGAATTTCACGCAAAGCTACTCGGTGGCTTTCTGCGCTGGCCATCCCTAATTTCGCAATGATAGACTAGATAGAAAGCAACTAATCATCACCACCCACCGCCAATACAATGGGTTACTCTTACCAACAAATAGTGGAATTGACCGTTACGTTATAACGCCCCCATTATACTCTCTGTGTCAACAGAATTATCGTACGGATTTAAGTTTATCAATGAAGTATAAAAAGCGAATTTATGCCGACTAGAAAAGTAGTGCCAGCACAATATATATTTAATACATTATTACACGCGGCTAATTTTGCACACCTTTCGAAGCATAACTCCCTTCCCCCACCCCATAAAACTGTTCATTTTTCGGTGTTGGTTTATAGCAATATGTTATTAGGCAGCATAAAATAAACATGTTTTGTTATTATCTTTGTACTCTTTTCAAAGTGAAAGAATGTTTGGGATAAACGTATTTTACAGCGTTCGAGTTTTGCTTACTTGCGGCTAGTAACACGTACTGCTGGTAGCTTGAGAGTGCATATGAAGTTGTCATGGAAACACAATGGTGTTTTACGACATTTTGAGTGGGTTCTTCCCGTTATATTTTCCAACAACTGAAACTATTTAAATATTATTTTGGAAACCTACATTTAGCTAAGTGTTCCTTATAAAAATGTCTCGGAAATTTATACGTAGCCAAGTGTTCCTTGGAAAATAACTATGTAAGAAACCCACCCTTAGTCGAGTGTTCCCGCTAAATATTAATGTCGGAAAATTATAATCAGCCAAATGTTCCTTATAAAAATTGTGTCGAAAATGTATACTTAGCGAAGTGTTCCTTTAAAAAAATACATCGCAAATGTATATTTAGCCAATTCTTCCTTATATATATATGTATGTATGTATACAAGTCTTCGAAATCAATACTTATCCATATTGCCTTTTATAAAATGTTTTAAAAATTCATATTCTGGTCAAAACTAACAAGTGTTTATTAAACAGTGTTCCAGTAATATACGTGCTCATGATCTGTAACATAATGTTAACAGCTTCAACATATCTGTCATCGCAAAGATAATAATACTAGAATCACTTAGCTAAATTAAAGGACCTATAGTCCGGGGATTTTTGTCTGTTTTTTAATTTCGTCCAACGATACACGAGGGCTATCTGTGCTAGCCGTCCCTAATTTAGTAGTTAGACTACACAGAAGGTAGCTATAGTCAACACATCCACTGTCAACTCTTTTATTAACAAATAGTAGAACTAACCGTCGAATTATAACGCCCCTGCGGTTGAAAGGGCGTGCATATTCAGTTTTATTAAGTAAAGACTTGTGTCGTTAAAGTTTCGTTGGAACGAAGTTACGGAAAAATCAATTAACAAACGGAGACGTAACAGTATCGTAGAGTTGTATTCGGAAAGAATAAACCAGTTTTAATTAAGTAAAGACTTGTGTCGTTAAAGTTTCGTCGGAACGAAGTTACGGAAAGTTAATTAACAAACGGAGACGTAACAAATTGGTGTCAGAGAGTGGGACAGAAAAAATGGAAACGAGAAGCGGCAAATCAAACTACAGCATAGCAGACTTGATGGCTGCAATACAAGAACAGCAAAAGAAACAAGAAGAACGAGAAAATAAACAAGAAGAA